CGGGGCCCCGCGGGGAACGGGGAGAATTGCCATCCCTATATAAGGACCCCCCTCCCAAAAAAACAGAACGGTCCCACATCTAAAAACTAGACAGATATTAGCTACCCGTCCTATGTCTCAATCTCATTAGAAGAAAACAAAGGCTATGTGTGGTTCCAAAATCCAAACAATGAGTGGGCATTTATTCAGGGTATTATCGTGCAATGTCCTGTAGTGATGGGCAGCTAATCCCATTAGTGGATGCACATGCTTGAGGCTTCCTTCCTTCCTTCTTTTTTGTACATTTTCCATGGCATGGCCATAAGTCAAAGATTTGATACGAAGTAGATAAGTTGAGTTTGGACATTGGAACCCAACAAAGTACAGTCATGTGTCAGGTTTTTCAAAGATAGGTTTTTTTAAGAAAATTGGAGCAACCTACGATTATTCTTCAAGGTCCTAGGTTCTTTCACAAACAGAAATCTCTGTTAACTTTTTATGACAAAGATACTGAAATAATTAAGATATCCCTTTTGGAGACATTTACAGTGTTTATTCATTATTATTTGATTGATTCTAATGAATTATAAATATAAATAAATACAACGTATTTTAGGTCATTGTAATTAAAATAAAAGATTTGAAAATATGCTTTGTCTTGTATAACGCTTCATCTATAGATAAAAATTAATTTGTTTTCACTTTTTGATAATGAACATCTTATAAAAGAAGTTTATGATGGTTGCATATATAGCACCAAATAAAGTGGATATATACATTACCAATCATTTCACAAAAAATAAAAAGAGTCAATAAAAATTACATCACATCATATTTTAAGATTTTATTATTAAAAAAATTATCAATAAATCATTTTTTAATATTAATAATTAGGAAGCAGAATATTTCTTCTTCTTTTCACATAAATTATGTATCAGGGTGTTCCCAAATGAATTTGTGCTACCTCAACTATTTTTTTTTTTTTTCAATCTTGGTGCTACTTCAATTCTATTCCTTCCTTTTTCTTCGAAGATAAATTATTTACATTGGGACTAAAGGGAGAAAGTGAAACATTTCTTTGCTATCTCCTTTTTCTCCACGATTTGTTAGTACTTTGAATGACGCAAGCTTTCATTAATTGTTGAAGACTTTTCCACCAAATTAGGCCTATATAAGGTAAGCTAAGAAGTGTGTGGCATTGCATACCTCCTTTGATCAATACATATAGCTTTCTCTCTTTCAGTTATGATGGCTAAGATACTATCTTTAGCCAGTAAACGTGGTTTCATGTCTTCAACAATGCTCCTCTTCAGCCTTCTAATGGCCGTCCTCTCAACCACAAGTAACCTCTTACTCTATATATCTGTTTTGATTTTTCATTTAACAAAGAAAATTAGGCCCCGTTTAATATGATTATAGTTTTTAATTTTTGTTTTGCTTTTTAAAAATTTAGATATCTTAAAATAAAACTAATAAGTTTTATAAATTAATTAAGTTTTAGTTTTAAGTATTAGTACTAAAAGTTTATAATCAATAAACTGGTATTTTTTATTTTTTAATTTTAGTTTTCAATTTTCATCTTTTAAGATAAACAAATTTTTATTTCCTACTTTGATTTTATTATTATCCATTCACTTTAATTAATTATCCAATCACAAAAAATTTTTCCTTATCTTTTATTTCTTTTTTAAAGGTATTATAAGTAAATATAAAAATTATCTCATAATTTTTAATTTATAAAAAAAATAAAAAATAATTATTTGGGGTGGAGGGAGTAGCAATCAAAACTAAAAAATTATAACCATACTAAACTTATAACCATATTGTTATTTTTGTTTTTAATTTTGATTCTCTAAAATTTAATACTAGATTAATCACAACCGAAAGTTAATCTAAGAAAAATTAAAATAATGGTTAATAAATGAGTTGTCGTTGAATCCAACTTATGCAGGTGCCCAAATCGGTGTTTGTTATGGCATGCTTGGTAACAACTTACCACCCCGCCCAGAAGTCATAGCTCTCTACAAAAAATACAACATCCGAAGGATGAGACTCTACGACCCGGATCAAGCTGCGCTCCAAGCCCTCGGAGGCACCAACATTGAGGTCATGCTCGGCGTCCCGAACACCGATCTCGCACGTATCGCCGCCAGCCAGGACAATGCCAACGCTTGGGTCCAAAACAACGTCAAGAACCACGCCAACGTTAAGTTCCGCTACATAGCCGTTGGGAATGAAGTTAAGCCCTCGGATTCTTTTGCACAGTTTCTAGTCCCCGCCATGCAGAACATCCGAAATGCACTTTCGGTTGCCGGACTTGGAATCAAAGTTTCTACGGCTATCGACACCGGGACCCTCGGAGAATCTTTCCCACCGTCCAAGGGGTCTTTCAAGGGTGAATATATGCCGATTCTAAACCCTGTTATTCGTTTCTTGGTGGACACACAAGCTCCATTGCTGGTCAACTTGTATTCTTACTTCAGTTACATAGGCAACACGAAGGACATCTCCCTTAATTACGCCCTCTTCGCGGATCCGGCGCCCGTGGTCCAAGACGGGTCTCTACAGTACCATAATCTTTTCGATGCAATTCTTGATGCAGTCTATGCTGCCCTTGAGAAGTCCGGTGGAGGTAATTTAGAGATTGTTATATCAGAGAGTGGCTGGCCTACTGACGGTGGAACGGCGACGACGGTTGATAATGCAAGGACTTACAACAACAATCTGATTCAACATGTGAAGGGAGGGACTCCGAAGAAGCCTGGAAAGCCCATCGAGACATACATTTTTGCCATGTTTGATGAGAATAGCAAGGAACCGGAGTATGAAAAACACTGGGGCCTGTTTTCTCCAAACAAGCAGCTTAAATATCCAGTCAATTTTACTCAAGGAAGTAGGAAAAATAAGGGCATTTAAGTTGTTTAGTTTTGCTGTATGACTAAATAAATGCATATAAAGATATATGCAAGGCACAAGTGTCGCCTCTATTTACCCAAAGAAATGCCCAAATAAATATACTAGTTAAATAATATTTATGAACAACTTAGATTATTGGAAGTTATTTGGTTTTTGATATTGTAATTTGTTAATTACTTTTGTTTTGGACGGTCATGCCCCTCATGCTATCTATATTGCACACTACTCAAAACTAATTTCTTTCTAGCAATATTAAGAATGCACCCAACATCAACTTATTGTATTTTAGAAAATTAATTTCGATGCATTTGATTGTCTCAAGACTTAAAATTTATACTTTATTTAAAAGATAACACTTGTTTACTAATGAAATATGCCACCACAGATATGTATTTTGGGTTTAGTAAATTAGATTTCAAAGAGTTAGTCCCTCCAGTAATTTTTAGTTGTTCTACTTTCTCAACTTTTTGTAATTTAACTTGATGTATGGTAAATGAATAACAATTAAAAAAAATTAATTTAATTAAAAATATTCAACAAGAACTACAGCTAGAAAGAAAATTTTTTTTAATTTTTATCTATTTATTATATAAATTTATTTAATCAAATTTTATTAAAAAATCCAAATAAAACAACTAAATCCAAAGGGAAGGAATATATGGGTCCGGGCCCTACAAATTATGAGTTTCATGTTATCACAAGTATGCATGTTTGAGTTTTGAGTTTTATGTGTGGTGTAGGTTCAAATCTCGTGCTCCTAAAACGTCTGCCGACAGTCTAGAATACATTGTTAGAGTTTTGAGTTTTATGTGTGGTATAGGTTCAAATCTCGTGCTCCTAAAACGTCTGCCG